ATGTACTTATTTATTTAATATGTCGTTATTATTTACTTCTTTGTTTAAAGTAATATTTTAACTATTACTATAATTAAAATTATTACTTTATTTATTTACGTTTTATTATTATTGAAAAAGTGTTGTTTGATAATTTATTAAAATCAATTAATTTGAAATAAATATATATAAATTAAGTTGAATACATTTATTTAATTAAAACAGAACAATACATAAGGAACCAGGCTCTCCAACATAAACGTTTATAAAAAAACCATTTTCATCGCAAACTACCTGCAAGATTAAGCCATAGTCATGCTTTCTTTTGAAATAAGCCTATTTGCTATGGTGTGGTGCGTTTACATTTACATGTGTACTGTCTATGCAACCAATACGAACGGGAATTTTTTCGAAGTTTCCACTTTTGCATTATTAGCAAGTGCGTATTTTATAAGTTAATTTTCAATTGATATACGCTAAACACTAGTTCTTTTAATTATTCTCCATACAGAAGCTCTTGGTGTGCCAAAACAAATACCAAATTCGCAAAAAGTATTCATATTTGCCATATACCACAAAAATATATAAAATTCCTTCATTGCTCTCGTCCGATTGTGATCATCACGGTTATTATGCATTCGCTGATTGGAATTTATTAACAAATCTATTAAAAAATGAAACATAATTAATATATAGCAATTGTATTTTTTATGCGCAAATACCAATCAAATAATCTTTAACGAAAAAATTATTGATCGTTTCCACAAAACTTCCACTATATCTATGCTGATACACTTCATCCTTTGAGCTTAATACACTTGGACTAGTGTTTGAAAAGAAAATGGAGGAGTCAGTTTTGCTCGATAATTCGAATAAAATCTGCAATTTCCATTTATTTACTATAGAATTAAATTTAAGTTTTTAAGTAAATACTAAATAAAAACTTACATTTCATACTTCAGACATTTCAACAAATTTTATTTATTTTCCATTTTTCAGATTTTTTGTATTCAAAATTTTCTCACTTATTTTTTTAGCGCCAAAATTATTCACATAAATCAAAAAATTTTGTACACAAACCCAGCTGGCATAATTCATGCGTTGCCAATTATTTTCAAACGTAATCCGTATCGTTTCAGCAAAGATGATTCAGATCATTGAGCGGATCATGTTTGCTGAAACGCAGCTTGTGTGTTTTAAAAAAAAATTATTTTTATTTTAACATTTATTTCTTTTATTTAAACATTTATATTTCTTAAAGCATGTTTTCTTATATAATTTTTATAATACTGTTATGTAATCGCCTGAGTGTTTATTCGTATCCCAGGATTTTGTAAAAATGAAACGAACTTTAAAAACTTGAAGAAACTTTACTTATTATATTTGTTGAATTACAAAGAACTAGTATTTACTAGGAGTCAATTTAGCTTCCTCAAAACAAATTCCAAAACTAACTTTTTATAAAAATATCAATTGACGTAATGTTTAAATAATATTTAAACATTTCATTGCTACTCTGATGAAATTCGTAACAATACGTTTTTATTTTTATAATTGAGAAAATAATTAAAATAATTAAAATTATATATAAAATAATTGAGTCATTGCTCAATGCAGTTGATGTTGTGGCTGCAGCTGCGTTGTTATTTATTGTTTCTTCTTTCGTTTGGGTTCCACACATTGTTTTTTTAAATTTTGAAGTTGCGTGATCAGATCTTCCTTAGTATTTCCTTCAGCAATTTTTATCAATCATTTTAGATTGCCTATTTCCTTTGCAGTTTTTCGCTTCTTGCCACCTCTTTTATTTTTCTTTTTAGGTGCTTCTATTACTATCTCCTTGGTCCTTCCTACTGGATGAAGCGTTTTATACTCATCCAAGGTTATTCGACGGACTTAGATTTGCTTCTATTGCCTGTTGCAGTGTTAGGACTGCTTTGTTAAATAGCTCATCGAATTGTTTTTGAGACATTCATAAGCAGGATTCATGCACGGTTCTGGTGTTTCTTTTTATATTTTTCAGTTCTGGAAGTTGTTCTGCTATTATTAATCGTTCCTGTTGTTCCTTGGAGTATTCTTCGTGATTGACCGTTTCATGTAGTTCTTCAAAACCTTTTAGGTGCACGCGTTCCAAATTTCCTAGTTGTAGAAAACTAGATACTGGTAGGCCGGTTGCTTCTTCTTGTTGTTCTGAACCTGGGAGCATATTATCAAGCCTACAGGAATATCATTTTAATTTAGCTATGTCAGTTGCAGGATTCGGAAATTCTTCAGGTTCGTCAGTTGGAGGATTCAGAAATTTTTCAATTTCGTCAATTGCAGGATTCAGAAATTCTTCAGGTTCGTTAGTTGCAGGATCGCCTTGTAATGTATATACTATATGAGTGTATGAATGAAGTTAATCTGACAGGATAAAGATTGTTATATCGATGATCGCAGAATTTAGAAGGATCTTTGAGTATTATCTTAGCTCTCCAGCCGCTTGTTCTATTCTCTCAGCAGTTATGCCGTATAGAATAGAGTTCTCCTCAGCTATTATGCCGTACAGAACATGTGACAAGTAATTAAAAAAGAAGACAAGTGTATTCCTTAAATCTAGAATTGAGTCTGTTTTATTAAATAAAATATTCCGGTATTTATACTGTGTAAAACTTAAATACTAACAATGTTTTATATTTCTTATATACTAGAAATAATTAATTGGTTACTTCTTTATCTTTAATATTTTAATATACAAAATAATTCTTTACTATTCTAACATATTTATAATAAGTGTTTAATTATATATCATATTTAATATTTTCATATTCGTATACCATATTTATATTCATAATAATTATATTACTCTTCCCTAAAGAATTTGGGTCATGCTAGTGCAACGACCACACATGCTTTATCACTTGGCTCGCGCATTATGTTACATACATATGTATTTGTAACTGTATGAGTCAAATGCATTCTAAATGTAACATGATCAAAGTTAAAGCGACAATTCGACAAAAATGTTTGTTTTGTCTACACAACAGATAATAAAAAGAAGGGCTTGTAAGGTATAAGTAAAATAATAAAAAGATAGAAACAGAATTTTCTTTACAGAACACTTACTAAAATCCTACCTGATGCGCCAAAATGTTGTTGTTCCCCTATGGTAGATGAAATAAAACGCATTTTATTGATTGATTATTTGATCGTTGAGATACCGCCAGATGTACACGTGTTACGGATGTATACTGCTGCCAATAACTGCAATCTGCTGCTGTTGGCTATACGTCACGGTATGCGTGGGATGTGGTGTGTATTCTGCAGGCCGCATGCAACAACGTCGCTATTAACGCACAGTAGCTTTTCGTCTGGTTGTTTGTTTGGTTGTTTTGTTGTGGAGTGTGGCGAGCCGCTGCTCTGCTAAACACTCGAACTGGACCGCACTTCAAGCACCTTATGCTGAACCACGTATAGTTTTGTGAATAAATTTCGAGAATTGAACTTGCCTTTTGCTTTTTTGAATTTTTTCCCGTTCGCTTGTACGTGTGGCCATTCCTTTTGTTCTTAGTTTTGTTTTCTGATATTGGTATATTGTGCTGAAATCGCGTTGCAAGAGTAATTTTCGCGTTTAACTACCAAAACTGTACGTTTTATACTTATTTATGACATTTATTTATTCTTCGCACAAGTTAGAGAAACTTGAAAATTCCAAAGTTCTCAATAAATTTTTACGTTTAGTTTTCTTCGACACAAAATTAGCACACGCACAACACACTGTGTAAGTGTGTTTGTTTATTTTTAAACATAAGTGAAATGTTTATTGTTAAATAATTGTTATAAAGAAACATTACTTATTATTTTTGGGGGCTCAACCGTCGAGCAAAAAACCTTATTAAAATATTGTACAGTGATTCGCAAATTACGAATACATAAAATGTGCCTTCGAACGAAAATGTTGTAAAAACGTGTAAACATAAAATACGAAGGGCAATTAAGTTGATTGACAGTTGTCAAAAGTTCATCGAAAAACTTGCAAATATTGACACAAAGAAAAAACAAAGCCGCAAGCTGAAATAAATAAAAAGAGCGCGGCAGAAATAGGCGCGCAAAATGTTGCAAAGAAAGAGAAGCAAGAACAACAATATTACATACATTCGCAGGCGTTCAGAAGGAGATCATTCAGTGTGCCGCAATGAGCAGAAACAGCAGTTGAAGCAGGAAAACCACGAACATCAAGCGAATAAAGCGAACACAAAGGAATAATAAAAAATTTGCAACAGCTTATTCAACTGTTAACACAAAAAATTTAAGCAGCTGAAATCAAACGAGCTGAGCCTAAAATAGCAGTTAAAAATTTTGCAAAAATTATTTTAGACTTTGATGGAGAAACAGTGCCGATGAGTCATTGGTTTGACAATTTCGAGCGCAATGTCGATGCATAGGTATTAAATGAGAAATAGGAGTATGTACAGGCGCGCGGGAAAATGGTGAAGACAGCGCAATTATTTTTTGAATCTACGTGAATTAATACATATGACGAAATGAAAGAACCACTGTTAACTGAATTTGAAAAAACATTAAGTAGCGCTGAAGTACATAAGATGTTAAGTGAGCGGAAAAAGAAGAGAGAAGAAGGTTTCCACGAATATGTATTAAATATGAGAAAAACTGCTATTCTGGGTCATGTGGAAGTAGAATAAGTTATTCGATATATATAGTTGATGGTCTATATATCAAAAATGAATACAAATTTTGTTTGTATAGCTGTAAAACATATCAAGAACTCAGAGAGAAATATGAAATATTCGAACGGGTAGGAGAAATCAACAAACCTGAGAAGTAACAGTTTAATGGTAACAAGAAAGGCATTCGCAGTTTTACAATAACCCATTGCTTTAATTGTGGATCAGGTAATCATAAACGAGCAGATTGTAAAATAGAAACAAAATATTTTAAATGTAATGGAGCAGGACATATATCCAAAAATTGTCCAAATAATACAAGAGACGTACATGTTGTCATCAAAAAAGACCGAATTAAAAAAAATTAAATTGAACAATGTGGAAGTCTCGTTGATACAGGGGCAGATGTGTCAACTGTAAAAAACAGCATTTATAAAAAATTGGTGAATGTGGACATGCAAAAGTGTCAATCGTGGTCTGGGTAAAAGAAATATTACGCCATTGGGTATTGTTACGGGCTTGGTTAAGGTTGATGATGATGAAGTTCAACAAAGTTTTGACGTGTTGTCAGATGATAAAATAGAGTACGACGCTTTGCTTGGTTTTGATTTTGCCTCCAAGTTTTGTGATACACTAAGGTTGATGATGATGAAGTTCAACAAAGTTTTGACGTGTTGTCAGATGATAAAATAGAGTACGACGCTTTGCTTGGTTTTGATTTTGCCTCCAAGTTTTGTGATACACTGAACGCGAATGGGTTTACGCTTTCACAGTTATCGGAACAGCAAGAGTGTGCTGAAATAAATCAGATAAGTATGATGAAATTTAAAGAAACTGATATATACATATGTTTCTTCGCAGTTCAAGCCATTAATACAGTCATCAATAAAGGAGTGTCGACCAATCCAGGCAGAAGTTGAATGCCCTGTGGTAAATAATACACCTTATATATTATTGATCAATAGATACTTCGTTTATTTTTTTAATTAAAAAGTCTTACAAATTTAAATTTCAACAAAACACAAAAAACCACATGTACACAATGAAGAATCAAGAATACCAAAAAAAAGTGTGCACACAAAAAGGCGGTGTTTCAATGAATTTTGCTTTTTATAACAAATGTATAAAAAGCTGCAATCACAATGCAATCTGTAACAACGAATAATGTGTATTTCGGTTCACGAACATTCTGGGCGACCCTGGAACAGCGTTTCAGAATATAGTTAAACAACAATCTTCGTAATGGGTCGCGTTATCTCCCCGTGGGCAGTGTGAAGTTTTACAACTCGAACGAGCCCATCTGAACCAGGGTGTATTTCAGTTACCTTAGCCATAAGCCACTTTGCTGGTGGTATGTTCGATTCCTTAATGACCACTATGCTGCTCACAGCTATATTTGGTTGCCGACGAAACCATTTCGGACGGTTTTGTAGGGATGTTAAGTATTCCTGATGCTATGTACGCCAAAATCCTTGAACCATATTTTGTATGTGCTGCCAGTAGTCTAATTTGTTGACGTTTACATGACTTAGATCGTCTTCTGGCACCAACGTGTACAGACGACCAATTAAAAAAATGAGAACGAGAAAGATAATTAGTATCCGAGTCTGATGTAGCGCTTAGGGGACGAGAATTCACAACCGCTTCAATTTGTGTCAGCAAGGTATTCATCTGCTCAAACGTAAGCACTGCATTGCCAATTATGCGACGTAGACGTAACTTGACTAAATTGCACTGCCGATTCCCAGATTCCACCCCAATGTAGCGCATTTGGTGGAATAGAACTCCATCGGATTCCGTCTTCTGCTAAAGATGCGGAAATGATTTCGTTCTGAGACTGTGACATAATTGCTTTATGTATCTCGTTCAACACATGAGAAGCACCAAGAAAATTCCTTCCATTATCGCTAAAGATTGAAGAACACTTTCCACGACGGGACGTGAAACGGCGAAGTGCTGCTAAGACACAATTAGTACTTAGGTCAGTAGCGAGTTCGAGATGTATGGCAGATGCAACAAGGCAAACAAATAAGCAAATATACCCCTTAGAGGTACGTGCATTTTTTCCGTTATATAATTTCAGTGTGAAGAGTCCAGCGTAATCACACCCTATATTTTCAAAGGGATGTGCTTGTCGAACCCGCACTGCTTGTAGATCAGTCATGAACTGTTGTGTTGTTAGCTGGCGTTGACGAAAGCATTTAAGACATTTATGAGTTGATCTCCTTATTAAATTTCGTGCTCCAAAAATTCAGTAGTTCTGGCGAACGTGAACGAAAAGTGCAGACACTCCTGGATGAAGATTTTTCTGATGCTCATCCAGTAGGATTAACGTGGAAATTCTATGTTCCTTTGGGAGTATAATCGGATGACGGGTGTTCGTGTCTAATGTTGAATTCGTTATTCTTCCACCTACACGTAAAAGTCCGGTATCATCAATAAATGGGGTAAGTTTGATTAAGGTAGATCCTCTGTTAAGCTCCTCGTTATTTCTTAATCGTAGCAACTCTTCCTTGTAGCAGTTTTATGCGAGTCGTGAGCAAGTTATTAAAGCTTCACTTATTTCGTAAAAAGTAGATTGCTCACGGCCTTACTGAACATATCGGGGGTGCGTTTTTCTACGAAACCGTACGATGTATGATACAACTCGCAATAATTTCTTCCATGTTGAGACCCTTTCTACCAGCTCTTCTAAACTATTATCCCTCGCTACTTCCATAGAGACTAGGTTTATCTTCTTCTGAATATGCGAGGAAATTGTCATCGTTATTATATAAAGACTTACCAGTAGTTACGTTCTCTAGCCAGAGAGGCCCTTTCCACCAAAGGTCAAAGTCTAATAATTCGTGCGCCATCATGCCCCGAAGCGCGCAATCAGCTGGATTTTCCATAGATTTAACATGTTTCCAACTACTTCGGGGATGAGTATCTTATATTTCTGCTTTGCGATTCGCGACAAACGTTTTTAATTTAATTGGTGGTTGCGATAACCATGCTAAAACCACAGTAGAGACACACCAAGCCTTTACGTTGATTCCCTTGTGAGGCAAAGGTTTTGTTATTGAATTTAACAGTTTCGTTAATAAAAGAGCGCTACATAACTCTAGTCGCGGCAAAGAAATTTGTTTCAACGGCAACAAGAGATGTTTTGCAGCAACAAGAGATGTCCGCATATCCCCATCGTTATTCTTGAATCGACAATAAACGGCTGCAGAATATGCTTTTGTTGAAGCATCCGAAAATCCATGTAAGTCAATGTAATTAAGGGAGTTACACACCCACCTTGGCAATGACAATTTTGAAACATTATTTAAGTCTTCACGATGTTTTAGCCAAACTTCAGCGAGATTAGAAGGGAGATGGTCGTCCGATTTCAAAGTAGTGAGCTATAATTCTTGGAAAAAGATCTTGAATTGAACAGTAACAGTAGCAAGAAGGCCCAATGGATCAAAAATCCGTGATACGTCTGATAGTACTTGTTGCTTTCTAATTTTGGAATTCCATCTAAGCAAATCTTATATTCAACTACGTCCTGGCATGGCTTCCAATAGATACCCAAAACCTTCGTCATATCATCTAGTTCATCACTCAAAAAACATTGATCAGACTGATCATAAAAATTAGTTCGTCACGTTTTTTTTCTAGTTAACTCACGGACTGCGAACCAGTAATGACGTCGTCAACGTAAAAATCTTCAGGAATGGTTTTCGCAGCAAGAGGGTATTTTCTTTGGTGATCCTTTGCAAGCTGTTCGAGGACCCTCACAAGTATCAGATTTCAAGTATCTTGAAATGAGCCATCAAAAACAAGCATGTAAAAATTGTGGCCATCACAGGTAACAACCTCATTAGGCTTAAGTTCCCGCATGTGTCCCAAACGAGTATATTCACGCATGAACTCAATATATTGCTTAAGAAGGTGGCTGTCTCTAAGTAGACGACGTTCAACCGCATTAAATTTTAATGTAGCCCCCGAATTTGATACATTTTTCCCTGAATGGAAGCTTTACAATATATTTACCATCAGAGTGTCGTGCATGTGTTTCAAAAAAATGAGACGATACTACATTATTCATGGATGCCTGAACTGATGTCACCACCCATCCGAATATTGTTGATATAGCAATATGATTACCAGAAGAGTCGAAAATTTTGTTAAAAGTAAATATTTTCCAAACTTGGTCAACACCAAGCAAAATATCAATCAGTGATGAGGAATTTTTTTTTTCCTTGAGTTGCTTCATAGTAGGAGTATTAATTTGTGACGTAGGAATCGCTGATGTAATCCTTGTAATTGTTTATATTATAATGTTTTATTTATTTTTATAATGTAATTGTTTCACTTTATAAAAATGTAATAGTTTTACTTTATAATGTTATTGTTTCACTTTATAAAAATGAAAGACATGTCGTGTAGAGTGTTCTTAAGAAACTGACTTTATTAAATTTTTATTCTTATCTCTAACATAATTTTTTACAACTAATTTCCAATAGAATCATATGTATCGATTGTATTGGTTGATACTTAAATTTACTTACGTCTAATTGGTTAATCCAAATTATTTACATACTGGTCATTCTAGTCATATATATTTCACAGTGGCACACATCTGGTGACCAACTGTATTGAGGACAAATCATATTGCATGCATTATCGCTTGCAATATAATCTGTGAAATACTTAACACAAATTCATGTACTGAGCATGCCACTATCCAAATTGTCAAATGCATATTGGAATAATTAAATATGCATACAAATGTTTTGTCATATAGAAATAACAAAACAGACGAGTCAAATTTCTGACTCATAAATTATTTCATTACTGACAATTTGGGTTTTTCGGTCATGCTTGATATTTGAGAGTTTTAGGTTGGCGTGACACATTAAATACGTCACACAACGTATGGTTAATATGCCACTACACCCTCACCCTTTAAGAAAAAATTTTATTTTTGAATATTGAACAATAGTTAGACAGGAAAATTTTTTTAAAATATTTGTTTATGTATTTATATATTTTTTGAATTGACCAAGACCATAAGTAGTAATATAATAATTTCAGTTATCTTATCTGTGTGTATAATATTTTTTTTTGGAAATATATGTATATCATAAGTGTTGTCAAATTAGACAAATTGTAATTTAGTTTTATTTTCTCTATGAAATAAAAAAAATATATATAAATTTGAAATATTTATATATGTAAATATAAAATATTGACATTGTATTGATAATAATATTTTATCTTAATCTATATTTTAATTAGTATCTAGATAGCTTGAATTGAGTAATTTGTGTAGATTGTATAATTTGTTTAAAAATGTTTAAAATGTTTAGCAAATATATTTTTATTCTCTTTTGAATAATTTTGTATTATTTTTGTGTAAAGTCTTTGTTTCATTACCAATGCTTATTATGACATTACTGCCTTCTATATTTATTACTTTATATGGACCTGTATACGGGTTTGTACATTTTCACTTATTTTGTGACTTAATTAACACTTCGTCACCTATTTTCAAAATAATCGGCCAACTATTTTTCTTAGATATTTCTTTTCTTTTTGTTTTAGCTTCTATGCTAAATTTTCTTGCTTGTTCAATTGATAACCTAAGTCGCACTTTTAACTCATTTGCATAATCGTCTAAGTTGAATATTCCCTGTTTATTTTCTATGTTTTCATTAGGTAATGCTGGTAGTTTACCAAATACTAATTCATGCGGGGTACAACCTGTCTCAACGTGTGGAGCAGTATTATAGGCGAATGTATAGTAAGGTAACCATTCGTCCCAGTCGTCATCATAAGCAAAGTTTAGCAAATATTTGTTAAGTACCCTATGGTTTCTTTCTATTGTTCCTACCGTTTCATGGTGGTATGGGGTTGAAAAAAATTGTTTTATTCCTAAAATTTCTGTAAC